GAGACTTTGTTGTATTTTAATTTTGTGTTTGTCAATTCTGTACATTTAATTAAGTTATTGTTTTTGTTTAATGTAAGTGGCTATTGTTCGGGACGAACAATACTAAGGAAGGGGCAATGTTACGACAGCGGGGGTCACGTGAATGTTCGTGAAGTCTCGAGCTTTTACTAGATATGCGGTAGTCTTGTATATATAAGCCGCCAAGAACTGACGGCAACAAAATGTAATTGAACTGCGGAGAGAGAGAGAGACGTATTGTTGAGTCGAGCACGTGAGACGTTCGTTGTGAATTATAGCGTTTGTTATAGCGCGACTGTGGAAATTAAGTGTATTGCGAAGTTGTATTCAGAAAGAATAAACCAGTTTTATTTAAGAAAGGACTTGTATCGCTAAAGTACTTCGGGAAGAATTTTTACGGAAAATTAACTAACGACCAGAGACGTAACAGTAAGATTAAAAATAAACGATGTGTTATTGATTGAATCATACATGAAATAGTGAGATTTGTATTTTAAGCGGATTGAAAAAATTAACTTCGCGTGTTTTCATTACTTATTATCTAACCCATCATTCTTCATTGGCTGGACATCCCTGCATTAACCACACTTGATTAAAAAAAAATGACTCTAACTTTAATATTCGGGTTCGTAAGTTAAGCTTAATTTCTTTGAGTCTTATTTTGAACTTTGAGATCATCATAGTTTCTCTCAATGAATTAAAACATAGATAAATATACGTTATATTCATTTAATTAAGTATTAATTTTGATTGTTTAATCGAATAAATTTTACTTATCATTTCTGTAATTATTAATAAAATGTATATTTCCGGATAAATTACTTGATATTATTAAAAATTATTTCAAGTAATTTAACAACTACTGAAAAATATATTTATTTTATAGAACACTATCCAAATATTTTATCCCCCTAAACGATTGATTGTGAGTCTTATCTGACCCGTTTGTAAGAAGCTTTCTTTTCACACGAGAGTTGCAACCATGATGGGAACGTAAGTCTTTAACTGTGACAAAATTTCAGTATTTTTATTCATAACTATTGACATAAAGTTGCATTCATGATTCAGTACTACTGTTCATTTTAATTATAATCAAATATAAACACATTTATGTTTTATTTTATCTTTTGTTTCCAGAATGCAAAAAGAGACTGTTCCGTCTGTACAAGTTTTTGGACGGAAAGTAAGTGTAGCCTACTATTAGCACGTAGTAGTACTTAGGACTAACTAAACCTACTAGCACATGTTTAGGCCTAATATATAATTCATACAAAATATCTTATAAGTATAGTTTATTTAGAAATCTGACTAATGCCATTTAATCATGCTAAAGGGAAGGTAATTTAAATTATAAATACCACATTGATGGGAATCAACTCAAAACTGTTATTAAAGAAATTTGTTAAAAAAAAAAGGACGTTTCTGTTTTGCTTGATCAATCTCCTCACTAATTTAACTTTTAACAGTTTAAGAAGAACATTGACTCTTGCCTGGGTATCTGAAGTGCTCATAAACAATATATATAGAATGGATGCTTTAACTTTTTTGTATTTAGTGGTAAGAGTGGTAGAACTAGAGGACATAGATAGATTTAAGGTTGTATGGTTAGAAGTCTTGCAAATTAAGCAATTTCATTTTGAACAGGTAAGTCGGCTTTCCCCAACCATAGATCTTCCATTGTATATTTCAATTAATCCAATATTTTCCTCCTCTTCACTACTTCTACCAAGTTCTGGAATTTTTGTCAGAATAAACTGCAACTTTATCTCAAAACAAGGTCTAAAAACACACCACCCAGTTTCTGAGCACCTTGAGAACTACAGCTTAGCCTACCATTTAAGTAAATAACCTACTTTTTACATTTATTGTATCATTAATGTTTCAATATTACTGGCTATTATTAGCAGAAAAGCAAACAAGAGGGAATCTTCAATAACTGTGGCGATAATTAGATCTCAAATTGGTCACGAGATTGAGCTATGAAATAAAAAGTTTGTTAAAAAAGTGAAGCATTAAATGGCCCTGGAAACAGGATATGTAAAAAAAAAGGGGGAAATATGGCTAAATAATGTATTATTACCTATGAATGAATAAATAATTGCATATATCAGTGGTTCTTGCACTATGTCATAGTGAGTTGTGCTGAGTTTTAGAAAACTTTCCTGATAGTTTACAATTTGAGAAATTGTAATGTCAAAACCATGCACCGTAAATAGGTCTTAGTCACTAAGGGGTGCCATCTAATAAGATATTTATTTTATTTATTTATTATTTCTACTTGGGTTGTTTTTTCATCAAGG